TTAAAACTGATGTTGATGTGATTTGATTGGATGGCAGTGTCCAATCAAATCGCCAGCCGCCTCTGAAGGGAAGCAAGAGGCAGCTGGCTTCCCTTGGCATGGCCCTGACCAATCACAGGTTGGCAGGGGCATCACGTGGGCCTCATCTGATTGGTCAATCCCTCCATTTTTTTTCACCAAGGAAAGCCAGATTCGGCTGGCCTCCTCTCGCAACAGTGAATGCAATCTACTGTTTCACCATAACATCTAGAGGGGCGCTGTTTGTTTCACTCTTTGTAAAATACTCAATGAGAATGGGGGAGAGACGGGCCGGCAGCAACACACAGCAAAGGAGAATTATCGAAACAAAACAAAGTGTTTTTATTTATTTATTTAAATTATAACTACAATCCGAAAAAACAGGGGAAGCCTGGCTTCCCTTGGCCTCCGGGAGAAAACGCCACTGGGTCCTAACAAGGCCTAACGATGCCTAGCCATACGGAGCGAGGCCGAGCGAGGCCCTGTAGTGGAAATGCGCCATAACACAGAGTATAGAAAGATGAAGTTACCATCAGGAGAGTCCACATTGAGGCCGGATGAGCGGCTGCTGCTGAGAGATGAATTCTTCTCTGGAAGAGTCCCCAGTGTGGACATGGACTGTGACATGTTTTTCTGCAAGTTTGATTTGGGAGCAAAAAGAGTTTTGAGCCTTGATTTCTTTTTAACTCCAGGAGACTGGTTGAGTGACTGTGCGTCAGCCTCGCCCTCGCTGTCTGTGAGAACATTGCTGACAGAGGGAACAATAGCTGAAGCAGAGTCGGAGAAACCATCTTTCTTCTTCCCACGGACTTTGTCCTTCAGCTTGGAGATGCGAGAGCGCGGTTTGTCCTGCATAGAAAGGTCGAACATGCTGGCTGACATGTTGTTCCTCATAAATTGGATATCTAGCAGCACCTCCCCTCGCGCCTTGTCCTCTTTTCCACTCTTGTCCACCATCTTGAACCAGCTGCAAATGACAGAGAAAAGGAAGCAGATGTTTAGGATTTATTCACAAAATCATAGGGAATTCTGAGAATACATTACAGGCTTTTTAAAATGTTTAAAAATGTAGATATTTTGTTGAGAATTAGTTTCTCAATACAAGTAAAGAAAATGGCAATAGGCAATTACCTCAGCACATTTGTCTATGTTTCATACAAGCCAGACAGATCACTGCCTTGGTATCAAGATACATATTGAACCATAATATTTATTGTATATACAAAAATGGCAAGCATTATCCATTTCAATTTGAGGACGTCAATGTGGGCTAGGGAGCTTTCACTTTAATAAATTGATTCAGTAAAAAAGAGTGACAGTTAACCATATTGAAAATAATCATTAATTATTTGTAATACTGGCTGCTAATTCTTAGTTAGATTATTTAACCCTTAGATGCCCGAGTGACTGGACCCTACACTCTTCAGTGGGTCAAAAAGGACCCGTATTAGAATAATATGTTTTTATGCCATTTTTGTCATTTTGGTTAAGAAAAATCACTTTTGGTTCACACTAGAAATATTTTTATATTACATTTTTCACTATTTATAATTTTAGACATTTATTTTACATTTTGAAAAAAAAGGTTTTCCCATAGGATGCCATAGAAAGAGCATTTTTGACCCACTTATGGAAGCTTGGGGTAACAAAAACTACAGTTTCTTAAAATGTAAATTATAAATTTGAATGGCATGATATCCAAAACATGTTTGAGGAATAGCTGGAATATGAAATGATTAAAAAATGTACCTCACCGGGTCAAAAAAGACCCACTTATGCGCCTAAGGGTTAATACTGTAACAGAAATCTGTAAATAACGCAACATATACTTTTTCTTTTACGGCCGTTATCTGGCTGCTACAACACGACTTTCTACATTTTACACATGACTTTCTTTCTACTGCTCATTATCTTTCTCTATCTTATATGTGTGCTTTGTAGAATTGTATTGTATTATTCATGCCTTTTATTTAATAGCGTTTTTGTCTCTATCTACACTTTTGCTTTAACAATGTAAAGGTTCCCTCTGTGGGACGGATGAAGGAATTCTG